TCAACAGTAAGTGCCAGTAAAGTTTATTGCGCAAACCACGACGAACAGAAACCAATAGAGTTGTACTGTAACCAGTGTTTTCAGGCCGTTTGTTCAAAATGTTTTACTACCAAACATAATGGTCATGAGTTTTTAGATTTAGAGTGCGATATAAATAAAGGTTCAGTGAAAATAGAGCAAACAGAAGTATCGAAACAGTTACAAGAAAAAGTTAAAACTTACGATGACCGCTTAGAAATGTTGAAATTTAAAACATCTCGGTTAGATTTGATAACGAACACTTCAAAAGAGAAAGTAGAAAAGAAAGTTACAGAACAATGTGAGGAAATTAAAAAGAAAGGGGGAGATTTTATAATGAAAATTCAGGAACTTGACGATAGAGAGAGGGCGAAGCTTCTTAAAGATAAAGATGTGGTACAGGGAAAAAAGAGGGACCTTGGAAGTTATGTCAAATTGTTGGCCGATTCGTCTAGTTTACAATCATTAGTGGAGGTATTGGAAACGTTACCAAAAGCAAAAGCACTGCTGGCCGATAATTGCAGTAGAGATATTAACACTCCTGAACTATTCTTCCCTATATTTAAGGCCAATGAGGACGGGCTAAATTTAACTGAGGAACAGTTAGGACAATTTGATACTTCTAAGATGATCATGTTTAAGTCATCATTTGATTTTGAAAGTTTACAAGACGAGAAAAATCATTTTTCAGTGGATAATCATGATTTAGAGAAACTCTCTCTGACTTTGAGAGCAGCTAAGGATCTACATATTGGCCTATATTTGAACGTAAACAAAAATTACATATCTGAAAACTTAAAGTTTTGTACTATTAGATATACCATTAAATTAGTTAGCTATACAGATTGTAGTAAGTCGCTATTATGGGAGTCAATAAGTACCTATAAAGCTGGCGAAATGAGCTGGGGATGGCGGTGGTTCATCGACTGGAACAATTTTGTTAATCCTGAAAATGGATTTATTGACGACAATAAGAACTTTCAGGTTGAAGCTTCAGCAATATGTACAGACTTGAAATGGAAAGAATAATATTTGCTACTCCCATAATAAAATCATGTTAAAACTCAATATGTCATACGAACAATATGTATTCATTCTGAGGCTTAATAGATAGTTAAGGTGTCCAATCGTACTTACTAATAGCCCAACTGTGATAAACACAACTGACTGATTCGATATTAACTATCACTATCAACATTTATCCCACGTTTCTCCAACATTCTTGATTCTAACTATAATGTTG